GGCGCCGGGGAGCCGGGGGGCCGCTGCCGCCGCCGCTGCTACTCCCGCTGCTGTTGCTGCTCTGGCTACTACCCGGCCCCGCGGCGCCCCAGGAGCTGAACCCTCGCGGCCGCAACGTGTGCCGCGCGCCGGGGTAGGAGCCCGGCCTGACTGGGGGAGGGGGCATGCTCGGGGCGGGGGTGGGCACGGGCTGCCCGGACCTCCCCACGCCAAAGTCGCCGGCCCCAGCGGCCGGGCGGCCGACCAGGCTGCTCCAGGCGGAGCCTGGGCGCCGTGCCACGACTGTGCATCCAGGATACCCGGGGCGAGAAGTCAGCTGAGGGGAGAACGGAGTGCAGTGGGCGCCGGGAGGATGACACGGTATCCGAGATTGTAAGACCTAGAAAGAGGGACCCTGAACCGGATTGTGAAGGCGTAAGGGAAAGCCCGGGAAGGGCACTAGAAGCAGAAGGAATGGCATGTGCAAAGTCCCAGGGCACCAGTGTGGAGGGAGGATGAGGGCCGAGGGGGAGATGGAGCAGCTCCTCCGAGAAGTAGATGCTGAGGAGGTCTCGAGGCAGGACCGACTCAGGACTGACTTGTGTCTTAGAGAGAGTACACGCGGTTAGTGTGGTGAAAGAGGTGGGCAGGGAGGAGCTCGTGCGGGGTGCCCCAAGTGGCTCAGAAGCCGCTTGAAAAGACAATGATGTGCACTGGGGTGGAGCTGATGTGGCTCTTCTCAGGTGGGGATACTGGGCGCACCCAGGGGCCGAGCAGAGATGGGGCGCTAGGAGGAGCAGCTGGGGAAACCAGTAGCACAAACAAGGGACAGGCCCTGCCCAAGGATAGCAGGCCCAGGACCTTCAGTGGAGGATGGAGAGCGGAGAACAGGAACGCCAGCAGTGGGCGCAGGGATCCGAAGACCTGGTTGGCAGGTCAGAGGCCAGGGCAATGTCAAGGGCATCTCCAGTGTCGGGGCCAGGAGCGGGTGTGGGGGGGTGCCTTGGCGCACGATAGGGTGCGCTGCCAGAGTCAGAAGCTGGAGGGGCGGCCACGGGACTCCTAGCTAGGTCCCATCGGGGCGCCTTGACCACGGGGCGGTAGGAGGCCGCTTCTGGGGGCTTAGCGGTCGCGGTAGACAAGGGGCTGCGCGGGGTTTCCGAGCTCTGATCCCGAGGCGCGCAGACCCCTCCCCGCTGTGAGCCCCGCCTCCGGGGCGGGGGCCAGCCTGGCCCGCCATCTGCTTCGCATCCACACTGCCGCCGCCTCCCGGGCCTACCCGGCCCCAGGAATGCAGCGGCGGTGGCGGGCGGGGCTGTGCTTGGAGGGAGGGAAGGCGCGATCTCCGCAAGGCTGGGTCTGTCTTCCTCAGCCCCGTTTCCCTGATGAGGGTCGGTGCTGGGAGATCCAGTGGCAGGCTCGAGCTGTTGGGAGCCTGAGCTTGTCTCTCCCATTCCTTGCCTTGAGACTTCGCCAAGACTTGGCCAGTTCCAAGTAGCCCAGAGCCAGGGCTTGGGTTCCAGGTCCTGGTGCCACCTCTGCCCTCCAATGTAGACCTGGGCAAACCATTTGTGCTCTCCAGGTGCCTCTGCCTCTGTGAAATAGGGTTGGCTATGGTACCACTACCTCATTGAGCTGATGGCAAGCACAACCAGCCACTCTGGGGCTAATCCATTTCTTTAGGCATCTTACCAAGGATACAGGTTGGTCCCTTGAAATGTTCCCACAGTGGGTCTCTTTACCCCAGATGCAAGAGGATCAGGGGGCAGGCACTCAGTTAAACCCCATGCATTTACTGTGTGCCAAGCCTCATTTAGATCTGGGACACACAACAGCAGGGAACAATCGCCCTGGTTCATGGAAGAGACTGACACTCAGCAAGTGCTGGGGCAGAGGTATTGAACTGAGGAGGGCTGGTTCCTTTAGGGTGATCTGGAGATACCCAGACAGGTGATGAGTGTTGGCCTCTTGTCTTCAGATGAAGCATAGCAGGGTAAAGTGAAGGGGGGTATTGTTGGAATGAGGAGAAGTCAGGAGGAGGATGGTGCAGAGACCAGAGCATAAACGTGGCCAGACAAGGACTCTGCCCACTGTTCTGAGATTTGGCTTTTTCTCTGATGCTGTGCACACCCCTGGGTACAAAGGTTGGGTGGGATCTGACCACAGATGACTGTCAAGTGAACTTGGGAACAAGAGGGTAGAAGTGGGGACAGTTAGGAAGTCAGTGAGGAGAAAAAAATTAGAAAACACGAAGGTGGTTCTCACAGGCCACTCAGGGCAGGAGAGAAGTGATCCATCCATTCGACATCCATTATGGAAGGTAGGGGCAGGTATTTCTCTGTGGATCTGGTGTGCCCTGCACAAGGTGAGAGCAGGGTCGAGGTGCCTGCAGGATTTCTGCCTTCCATCTGGAAAGATAGGGCTTACCTGAGATGGGGAATACTCCAGATAGGGCCAAGAGTTCAGTTTGGAGGAGGAGGGTCTGCTGCAAGGCCCTAGGCATTGTCAGTGTCTTGATGGGATCCAGTGAGCTTCCCAAATAAATTATTGTGGACAGAGAGGTGAAAGCTGAGGAAAAGCATGGGAACCAGAGGCAGGTTATTGGAGACTGGGGGTGGGAGGCACTGGGAGGAGAAAAGAGCAGGTGTGGGATCCCAGGTATCATGGCAGGGATTGAGGAGAGAATGGGAACAAATACTGGCATCGTGAGCAAGCAGTGCTCTCAGGGAGCTTTGCTGCAGTGTCGCTTTGTTTGCAGTAATAGTAACAGTGATCTATAGTGGGGCAGCCTGCTGTGTGGCTGTCTGGCTCAGGCTTTAGGCCCAGCCTGTGGCTTGGCTCCTAACTTAGGTCTTCCTGACTTTCTACTCAATTGTGGGAATAGCCCCCTGTACCGGGCCATCCTTCTCCATCTCAATTTCATAAAATTTTGAGTCTCAAAAGGAAAGGTGGCAGCACACAGTCTCACCTGTTCTTGGTGAACCCACATGGGCTTCATCTTGCAGGTACATGTCAGCTCTGCTGGCGTAGGGTCTTGTCACCATCATGTTGCAGGGAACAGTGAAGTCAGGTGCTCCCTGGACCCTGCTCATCAGGGGTGGAGACCTGACTTCAGTTTCAACTGAGCTCTTAGTTCATACTGCAGCATAACTGTGCTCTTAGTTCATACCAAACACAAACACCCACTCCACTTTAGAGACTCAGTTTCATGCCCAAGCAAGTAGTAGATCCAGGCATCAAATCTAGCTAACTATGGCCCTAAACCCAGGCTCCTGACCCTAGAGCCTCAGGGCCAGGCTGTTCAGGACAATAGGTGGTTCTTCCAGAGTCATCCTGGCAGCCAGCTGGAAGGGCTGCCTGGAGAGGGGCACCTCCGGCTCTCCACCTGGGTCTCTGATCCAGGCACAGAACTGGCAGAAGAGGTAGGAAAGTGGTGATCTCTCATACTTGGGTGTCCCCACAGATGGGCACCTTCTAGCCCTAGGGCAGGGCTGCGTGGGTACAAACAGTGGGGAGCAGGAAAAATCAGGACTCTTATGGCTCTGATTTCCAGTTTTATTTGTGAAAAATAAGCTGAGTCCATCCCCTGTAGCTCTGGATTTTATGGGTCCCACACCATTGGCTTGAGGGACAATCACCCTTTTCAAGTGAGGGCCCTCCCTCTGGGCCTCACACTACAATGTGGAGTGTGGTGATTATCTGGAGCTGGAGAACAGTTGGAGGATATCTTCTGTGGGCCATGATGCAGGGCAGCCTTCCGCTTACTAGCTGTTTCAACCCACCAGGGACCCAGGTTCCCCTCCTAACTTCCTCCTGCCACCACATCCTGGTTTCAGATTCAGATCCTTCTGAACAAGCACATTCTTTTTCTTTGAACTGTGACTGTCTATGTGCCCCTTAGTATTTGGGTAAAGTTCTAGGTCCATGAGACCCTGTGAACCTGCATGTGCAACCTGAGAGTCTGTTCCTTCTTAACCTCCTGTGCCCCCGCCCCCAAATGTGGGCAGACCCTAGTTTAGCACTTGCAGTTCCTCTCTGTTGCTTATATGGGACATCACAGTTCAGCCTTCATGCACCCTGTCTAGTGATCATGGTTTCATTTGAAAAGGACCCTCAAGCCTGTGTCAACATACCCTATCAACCCATGGTTTTAGAGACCATATGCCCTGTCATCCCCTTTTGTGGGTGTAACAGTTATAAACTATAACCTCCTACTGAGGTAATATATATATATATATATATATTGCAAAGCCAAATTAAACAAGAACAAGAATGTAAAAAGTATAAATAGATGCTTTACTGTCTTCTTCCCCTGCAAGTCTTGTCCTGATGCACAGGAGTCGGGTCTACTCTCCTTCCTCACATGCCCTTCCATGAGTGGACACTTCACTGTTCATACCAACCTGCCTTTGTGCTTAGCTTGAATTGGGCCTACAGGTATGTCCTGGTCCTGCCAGTCCTGGCTCTGTTCAGGTCCCATCACACCTAGACCCCTTTCACCCACTGGCTGACCCTGTAGCTTCCAGAGATGCCCTAGACACTCTTACTTGAGCAAGTCCCAGAGACTGAGGACCCTCTTCCCAGGCCCCACCTCACTGCTGCCCCTTCTGGGACACCTGGGCTAATAGATGGGGATGAGGATGCAGAGGGCTTAAGTAGGTGGGGTGGAATAGGGTGGTTCACCTATAAAAGGCACTGGGAGGTTCCTGGAGGTTAGATCTGTCTGTAATCTGCTTTCTGTTGCCTCCCAGAGCCTGTGGTTGGAACTTGTGTATGTCTTACTCAGGGAGGCTCCTGAACCTATACAACAGAGCCTGGCTGGCATTGGGCAGGAAGCAGGTCACCTCCCAAGGGTAGGGCGCAGATTTCAGAGGCAAAGAGGCCTAGTGGACTGTGCTGGGAGTCTAGGAGAGAAGGGATTGGAAGATGGTGCAGGAAAAAGAGTCAGGCCCAGGTGATCTTTCTGCAGCTCCCAGGAGCCCACGTGCTGCACCGGCTGGAGACAGCAGGGGGATGAGTGTGGAATTGGTGAGTGGGGCATTTTGGAAACCTGGGGACAGGGAGGGACAATGGTAAACTAGACACACAGTCTGGCCCCCTTTTCTCTGTAGCGGTGTGTGAAGGCAACTCTACCTGTTCGGAGAACGAAGTGTGTGTGCGGCCAGGGGAGTGCCGCTGCCGGCACGGCTACTTCGGTGCTAACTGCGACACCAGTGAGTGTGGGTCTGGAGGGTGCTGGTATTGAGATGAGATCCTAGAGAAATAGGCGGGGCCTGTGAGTAGGGTGGGGTTTGGTTTCTGAACTCAGTCCAGCTTGGAGACGGGTCCCCAAAGCCAGGAGTGGGACAGGATTGGGACGCAGGCAGGTTAAAGTTGGGGCTGGCCTCTCCCGCGAGAGCCCCCTCGCTTGACCTCTCGCTCTCCTCTGTAGAGTGCCCGCGCCAGTTCTGGGGCCCCGACTGCAAGGAGCTTTGTATTTGCCACCCGCACGGGCAGTGTGAAGACGTGACGGGCCAGTGCACATGCCACGCGCGGCGCTGGGGCGCACGCTGCGAGCATGCGTGCCAGTGCCAGCACGGCGCGTGCCACCCGCGGAGCGGCGCGTGTCGATGCGAGCCTGGCTGGTGGGGCGCGCAGTGTGCCAGCGCGTGCTATTGCAGCGCCACGTCGCGCTGTGACCCGCAGACGGGCGCGTGCCTGTGCCACGCAGGGTGGTGGGGCCGCAGCTGCAATAATCAGTGCGCCTGCAACACGTCGCCGTGCGAGCAACAAAGCGGCCGCTGTCAGTGCAGGGAGCGCACGTTCGGTGCGCGCTGCGAGCGCTACTGTCAATGCTTCCGCGGCCGCTGCCACCCCGTGGATGGTACATGCGCCTGCGAGCCGGGCTACCGCGGGAAGTACTGCAGAGAGCCATGCCCGGCTGGCTTTTACGGCCTGGGCTGCCGCCGCCGGTAAGCGTGGGCCGGGGACTGAGCAGGGTGGAGGGAACAGGCGGGCCGCGGAAGCGAGGGGGTGGAGGGTTAGTGGCTCCCGGCCCCGCCTATCCTCCCGCCCCTTTCCCAGATGCGGTCAGTGCAAGGGCCAACAGCCATGCACCGTGGCCGAGGGCCGATGCCTGACGTGCGAGCCCGGCTGGAACGGCACCAAGTGCGACCAACCGTGCGCCACAGGCTTCTACGGCGAAGGCTGTGGCCACCGCTGCCCGCCATGCCGCGACGGTCACGCTTGTAACCACGTCACCGGCAAGTGCACGCGCTGCAACGCGGGCTGGATTGGCGATCGGTGAGCAGCCTGGGCCCACATCACAGTCCCCAACCCTGGAATGCCCTCCCCGGAGGGCACGTGACCTTTGGGGTCCATTCGCCCCCATTTTGTTGACGCCCCCTTCCCGCCTTCCGAGGTGCGAGACCAAGTGCAGCAATGGCACTTACGGCGAGGACTGCGCATTCGTGTGCGCTGATTGCGGCAGCGGCCACTGCGACTTCCAGTCTGGGCGCTGCCTGTGCAGCCCCGGTGTTCATGGACCCCAGTGAGTGCCTAGGGACCCAGAGGGGGAAGGGAAGGGGGGTGTATGACACAGGGCTGTAGCCAGAACCCAAGCACTGCTGTGGTAGTAGTCAACGAGGTGGGACCCGGACTTGGCCCTCGGCCTTAACCCCACCCCCAACCGACTACTTCAGAGTGGCAGCAAGCACTAAGTGGGCAGTTTCCTGTTGGCACGCCAGCAAGAGTTGGCGACCAGGTTAGCCTGTGACCAGTGGGCTCCTGAGCGCTACAGGGCTGAGCTGACTCTGAGCTGGTAGTGTGAGCACTACCAGCTCACTTATAGCCAGGGGGCTGATCTGGCAGCCTCTCCTCCCACGTAGACGAGAGTCAACCCCAGAAATGGGCACAACAGCTGAGTGGCCCCCTCCCTCAGTTTGTGCACACATTCATTTCCAAAACAATGATCGCCCAGGGTGCTCTCAGGGGTAGGGTGGACTTAGTCCCTAAAAAATGGAAGTAGAGAACCGCTCTGGGACCGAGGCTGGCTGGCCACAGGGGCGAGGAGCCGGAGACATGTAGCCGCTGTAGCCCTCCCTGATCCTGCGCCCCCGCAGCTGTAACCTGACGTGCCCGCCTGGACTCCATGGCGTGGACTGCGCCCAGATCTGCAGCTGCCATGAAGAGTCGTGCGACCCAATCACCGGTGCCTGCCGCCTGGGTGAGTGGGTAAAGGGAGTTATGTTGGGGGTGTGGGAGAGGAATGTGAGCTTGCCCTCATCCCGTGGCTCCTTACAGAGACCAACCAGCGCAAGGGCGTGATGGGCGCTGGCGCGCTGCTCGCCCTGCTTCTCGGCCTGCTGCTGTCGCTGCTGGGCTGCTGCTGCGCCTGCCGCGGCAAGGACCCCGCGCGCCGGTGAGGCCCCAAGCGCTCACGGCTATCCCCAGGGTTGGGGCTGCTTCCCTGGCTAGGCCGGTGCTCCGCCCCAGGCCCCGCCTCTGGAGTGCCGGCCCGTCTCTGGCGCTCTGGGACCCCAGCGGCTCAGGGCGCGGAGGTCTGGTCGCCCAGCCCCGCCCCTTCATTCAGGCCCCGCCCCCGCAGGGAGCTCTCGCTGGGGAGGAAGAAGGCGCCGCAGCGACTGTGTGGGCGCTTCAGTCGCATTAGCATGAAGTTGCCCCGGATCCCGCTCCGCCGGCAGAAGCTACCCAAGGTCGTAGGTAGGGATACCGGCTGGGGTCTCTGAGGGAAAAACCTCCCGATGCTGGAGGCTGCTGGTAAATGAGTGTTTGGAGTCCTGGGGTGCGACCAGAAGGCGGGAAAGAGGAGCTGCGGGTGAACCCGAGAGTGAGGCAGGAGTCCCAGGTGGGGAGGCAGGTGTGGGGGCTGTGGGAGAACTTGAGTCCTCTCTTACCCCCCCCCCCCAGTCTGAAAGAGCACGCTGTAAGTCCTGGAGGGGAGCTGCAGGTGCACTTGCATTCCATTCCATGGGAATGAGCTGGAGAGCAGGCTTTGGGACCTGGCACTGGCACTGTTTGGATATTCTGCAGCACCCTGGGTTCTTCCTGTGAAGTGGGCAGACTGGTATCTTAGTACCCGACCCTACTTTGGAACCTGGGTATGGGGTGGGGGCGGTGTTGCTTCTTTTAATCTATCTGCATGGCACACACCAGGCATGGCCTCTCGCTCTCTTTCTTTCTCTCTTTCCCTGTTTCTCAAGATGAGGGGGAGGAGACTAAATGTCCTAGGAGGTAAAGATCAAGACAGCTGAAAAAGCCTCTTGGCTTTCTGGGAGAAAACCCAGCAGAGTGGAATCTATGGACACAAGTGTGGGGCTTGGACCCTACATCCCAACTGTGGAATGGGGGACAGGCCAGTCAGCTGCTAAGATCCCTTATTGTGGGGGTCTGCATCCCCGGAGGCCAGACCTTGGGATACAGCCTGCTGAGGTAGGCAGAACCAAAGAGCAACCTAGACTTTGCAATTTTGGCTCAGAAATATTCCAAGGCTCCTTGGGTGCCAGGAGGCAGTGTCTGAAGCATGACTTACAGACTTTGGTGGCCAGACCCAGCTGGGTGTTTGCCCTAGCATTGTCTCTTTTCCCAACACTTCTGTCAACCTTTTGCAGGATCTTGCTGCACATAATTCCTTGAACCTTTATGTGTATAAATGTTGTTCTTTCTCTCTTCACTTGGTTCGCCTCTACCCATTTGTTCTCTAGTCCTGGTCTAGTGTCACTCTGCTATTGAATTGTTTGTCCTACCCACTGTCTTAGGATAGGGCTGGTCTTGGTCACTCCATCACTTGTGGCAGGAGGGCTAGTGAAGGCACAGGCTGGAACAGGGTGGGGTCCCTGGCAGCTATGCCTCCCTCCTTTTCCAGTGGCCCATCACGACCTGGATAATACACTCAACTGCAGTTTCCTGGAACCACCCTCAGGCCTGGAGCAGCCTTCACCATCGTGGTCCTCCAGGGCCTCCTTTTCCTCCTTCGACACCACTGATGAAGGGCCTGTATACTGTGTGCCCCACGAGGGTGAGTATCACTCTGCGTGGGCATCCTTCCAGCCCAGTGAAAAGATCTAACTAAAAAATTCTCTGAGGCCCTCCCTGGTGGCGCAGCGGGTTAAAGCACAGCACTGAGAAGCTAAAGCCTCTTCCGCATGAGTTCGATTCCCGCCTGCCCCGGAGGTGACCACATGGCGTGGCAGACCTCTCCTGACCCGCCCGCTGCTCCCCTCAGCAGTGCACTTCGTCCATCTGCCTGTTCTGCTCCCCACTCTGTCTCTGGTGAAGCCTCTCACCGCCCCTGAGTCTCTGGCCTGTACCCCAGTTCTGTATGCACAAATAAATAAATCTTTAAAAAATTATTTTAAAAAAATTAAAAAAAAAAATTCTCTGAGCTGGGGCACAGACAGTATGGGGGTTGGGCACAACTGATGCTTCAGAGCTGGATTTGGCTGTTCAGGGCCAGGCTGGATTAAGTCTGGAGAGACAGGTGAGCCCCTCTGTCTCTCGCCTCTGTTCCTTGTCAGAACCCAGGTTCACCTGGGGGAAATCAGCAGAGAAATATTTGGGCCTGGTAGGAGGTAGCAGAGGAGAGGGTGGGCATAAGGGGTAATGGAGTTCTTTAGGATATGGGGGCACAACTTCTCCTGAAACCTTGGTCCATAGATACTAGGAAGGAGACTGGCTGGAATTCTGACCTCTCCTAGTGACATCCCTCTGCGTGACCTCGGGCAGGTGTCTAACCTCCAAGCTTCATAAGCTTTCTTTCTTTTCTTTTTTTTTTTAAAGATTTATTTGTACATACAGAATTGGGGTACAGGCCAGAGGCTCAGGGGTGGCGAGAGGCTTCACCAGAGACAGAGTGGGGAGCAGAACAGGCAGATCAACGAAGTACACTGCTGAGGGGAGCAGCGGGCCGGTCAGGAGAGGTCTGCCGCGCCATGTGGTCACCTCCGGGGCAGGCGGGAATCGAACTCATGCGGATGTGGCTTTAGCTTCTCAGTGCAGTGCTTTAACCCGCTGTGCCACCAGGGAGGGCCCTCTTTCTTTTCTTTTTAAAGTTAAGTTTACTTCTTTTTTTTTTTTTTTAAAGATTTATTTATGAATACAGGTCTGGGGTACAGGCCAGAGGTACAGGGGCAGGGAGAGGATTCACCAGAGACAGAGTGGGGAGCAGAACAGGCAGATCAACAAAGTACACTGCTGAGGGGAGCAGCTGGTGGGTCAGGAGAGGCCTGCCGCACCATGTGGGTCACCTCCCTGGCCAAGGATCAAACTTATGCTGACAGCAGTTGCAGCTAGCATCCTAGTGCTTGCTTTAACCCTTTGTGCTACCAGGGACGGCCCAGCTTTCTTTCTTTCTTTTAAAAAAAGATTTATTTATTTATGCATAGAACTGGGGTCCAGATCAGAGGTGCAGGGACAGTGAAAGGATTCTCAAAGACAGAGTAGGGAGCAGAAAAGCCAGATTGACAAAGTACACTGCTGGAGGAGCAGTGGGTGGGCCAGGAGAGGTCTGCTGCTCCATGTGGGTCACCTCCCTAGGGATTGAACTCGTGTTGAAGCTGCTGTGGCTAGCTTGGTAGTGCTGTGCTTTAACCCGGTTCACCACCAGGGAAGGCCCCAGGGGATTATGAATACTCTTGAAAGTGTTTGATGAAGGTAACCCCTCTCCAGGATGTGGTGGGGGAGTTGTGCTAGGCCAAGCCAAGGTTAGGGCTTCAGCTAGACATGGTGCTCACACTCCCAGAACTCTACCCATGGCATTGGGGTTGAAACTAAGTTTGTGGTTGACCCTGTGGGTGTGCTTGATAAGTCTGGATGTAGCCAGTTGGGTAGGGTTTTCCCTCTAGTGCTAGTTGGAGCCCAGCTCTCTGAGGAGAAGGTGGGTGACAGATCTGCTCTTCCCTTGTCAGAGGCAACAGCCCAGAGCCGCGATGCAGAAGCCCCTACCGGCCCTGCGGAGGCATCCTCCCCATTGACCCTGACCACTGCAGAGTCGGTGGAGGAGGCGACACCTCTCCCTGCCTCCTCAGACAGTGAGCGGTCCTTGTCCAGCGTGGAAGGGCCCAGCGGGGCGCTATATGCCCGCGTGGCCCGGCGCGAGGCCCGGCCGGCCCGGGCCCTGGGGGATCCTGGAGGCCAGTCACTTTCGCCATCGCCTGAGCGCAGGAAGCCGCCACCACCTGACCCGGCCACCAAACCCAAGGTGTCCTGGATCCATGGCAAGCACGGCGGCGCCGCTGCCGCTGCCGGTTCACCCTCACCACCACCCTTGAGCCCCGAGGCCGCGCCCAGTCCCAGCAAGAGGAAACGGACGCCCAGCGACACCTCGGCCAGGAGGGATGAGCAGGGCTGCCCCACGGCACGCGACTCGACCTCACGGCCCCCCGGGCTGGCGGAGGAGGGGCCGGCATTCGGGGCGCCCTCGCCGCCGCGGGCTCGGGCGCGAGGCCGCGGCCCTGGCATCCCTGAGCCCATGGACGCTGGCGGTCCCCCGCTCAGCGCGCCGGAGGCGGCTTCCATGCTGGCGGCTGAGCTTCGCTGCAAGACTCGTAGCCTGGGCCGCGCGGAGGGGACCCTGGGCGCGCAGGGTGCGCGCGAGAAGCCCGCGCCGCCGCAAAAGGCCAAGCGCTCGGTGCTGGCCACCTCGCCGGCTCGCCCAGTCCCGGAGCCCAAGCTCCCGGGGGTCGAAAAGGTGGCAACTGGCGCGCCTGTGCCTGATACCCCCAGGAAGAAGACCCCCATTCAGAAACCGCCGCGCAAGAAAAGCCGAGAAGCGGCGGGCGAGCTGGGCAGGGCCGGCGCGCCTACCCTGTAGCAGCTGGCAGGCACGGTGCCCGCAACTTCCCTCGGCTTCGCAGCGCTGCTTGCCACCCCGCGTTCTGCGCTCTCCGGACGTCTCCCAGGATGTCTCCTAGGCCCCCTGGGCACGGGTGGCCTGGCGGGAGGCCGTGTCTCATTGGCTCAGGCCCCAAATATTTGGAGTTTTACCTTCTGGCCAGAAGGCTCAGCCCATTGGTCGAGGCCTACAGTGGCCTAGTGGGCACCTCCCTTCCTTCTGGCCAAGTTATTGAAGTTCCCAGCAGCCGAGCAGCCTGGATCTCAAAGGCCCAGGACTGCAGGAGCCCTGTCTAGAGACCACATCTTTCTGGCCAGACCTGCACTTGACTGGGGCTACTTTCTCATTGGCTGATGCCAGAAGCACTTCTGCCCCACCTGCCTCTCCCTGGTCAGGGCCTGGTGCCTCTGGCTGGGGTCTCCTTTCCTAGAACCTATCCTGGCTACTCCCACTGGCCCAGTCCCAGGGCATTTGGTTACTGGGAGCCTGGGGAAGAGGGCTGGTCCCTGCTTCTCAGAGGGCTCACTGACCCTGGACTTGGCTGTCCCACCTCTGTGAGACAGCACTGGCCCTTCAGCTATCAGCTGGTTTTGATGGCCTCCCACCACCCACACATATCAGAATCCAAGGGGTAACTCCAGTGGCCTGAGGAGATGTATTTATAGGCCCCCGGATGGGCTCATCCCAGCAGGGGCTTGGCCAAAGCTTTCTTAATAAAGTGCCTTACCCCCACCCCTCTGTGTTCTGATTGCTTCCCATCTTCTGGGCCGTGGACAAGGAAGACTGTTCCCCCAAAGAGGTTGCACATGCCCTCTTCCAGCCTGCATTCATATCCTATACCCTCACCTAAGTGGAGCCTGGCAGACAGGCATGGTTCTTCTAGGACCATGATGGGCTTCCTCATGTCCATTTGCCCTCCAGTCATGTGTGTATCAACCTTATTGAGCACCCACATTGGCACACCTCATCCTGGACTCACCTGGGACATACAGATGGCAGAGATGCTTGACTGCAGGTAACTGATGTGGGTCTGCTTCGGACCTGCATTTTCGCCACTAACAGCTGCTTTTACATTGTGGACTTGGAGTTGTTTGTTGTGGCTGGGGTGGGTCAGGGGCCAGGACCAGAGGGCAGTGAGCCACGGGCACAGCCTTCAGCCAGGCCTCATCTGGTACAAACCAGACAATCTGGTACTACACAGAGCCCTGCTGTCTGCCTCAGTGGGCTCCTTGTCCTCAGCGGAAACTCACCAACCTACCCGCCTGCCACGGTGGTGGGGGAGGAAGAGAAAGGAGCAAGCCTGGCCCAGAGCCTTGGCTGGCTCAGCCAATACCCACTCTGACCTGACCGATATGTGACCATCTGTCCCCTGTGTTTTCACTGTTTCTAGCCCTTGAGTACTTCCCAGATGACCTTTCCACAGAAGGGAGAGGGGAAGTGATGCTGACATGATCACCCTGTTCCTCACTGGTCCAGACTGGGGAGAAGGGGGAAACAAGAGTCAAGGGCACTGTGGTGCATGGTGGTGCTGAGGGGGCACAGCAAGAGCCCACTGCCCACCCTATTCTTCAGTCAGCGGCAGAGTTTTATCTTTCTATGGGGTCCACCGTCCTCTCTACTAGATTCCAACAGCTAAGTTCATCTGGTCCCTCTCATTTCTCTACCTCTGTCTCTTGCCGTCTGGCTAGATACCACATTGAAGTCAACTCAGTGACTCAACTGAGACTCACCTTAGGGAAGGGAAGAAGGCCTCATGCCAAGGGCGAGACAGCTGGCATGGCTTGCATGGACATGTCTCTGCCTCTGGCCTAGCCAAGCAGCATGTGGAATTCAGGATCCTTTCTCTAGGGCATGCTGCTTACCTCAGGCCAGTGGGCATCTTCTCAACGTTGCCTGCAGCTCTTTTCATCCATTCAAGGGCCATATCTGCTGCCACTGGGGTGGCATCCACAGACTCATTGTCACCCCAGGGGAGGAATGCTGGGCTGAGCCCAGTGAGGCAGGGCAGGGGGAGGAATAGGGTGGGCAGTGGGCTCTTGCTGTGCCCCCCAGCACCACCAGACACAGCATTGCCCTTGGCTCTTGCTTCCTCTTTCTCCCCAGTCGGGACCAGTGAGGAACATCATGTTCCCTCTCTCCTCTGGGAGCCCTGAGGGTATCTGAGGTACTAATCTTCAGGAACCCTTCTGTGGGTGCTGCACAGAACAGTAGTACCTCCCACTATTTTTTTTTTTTAAGAACTGGGGTACAGGCCAGAGGTGTGGGAGGGGTGTGAGAGGATTCACCAGAGACAGAGTGGGGAGCAGAATAGGCAAATCTACTGAAATACACTGCTGAGGGGAGCAGCAGGCAGGACAGGAGAGGTCTGCCATGCCATGTGGGTCAGCTTCCTGGCTGGGGATTGAACTTGTGTTGCAGTGGCTGTAGATAGCTTCATGGTGCCGCACTTTAATCCCTTGTGCCACCAGGGAGGGCCCACCTCCCACTTTTCTGACAACAGCTCTGCTGCCTGTCCCTCTGTGGGCTGAATGCTCTGGCCTGAATGCAGAAGGACCCAGATCTACCAGTAGCACCCTCCCCCCACACTATCCAGGTGGCCTACTGGGGAGTAGTTGCTGAGACTCCTCAACATCTCTCAGCTTCCACAGTCACACCCTCCTACGCCACCCCCTCAGGCCTGCCACAGTGCCAGATCCCAGGGCAGGCGCCACAAAAGGGAACCGCAGCTGCTAGAACCTCTGTTGCCATGGGGATGGGGACCACAGGACTCACATCTGGTAGCGATTGAGGAGGAAAAATTATGAGTCGTGGAAAACGCAAATATTTTTTGTAGCACAGAGCACAAAGGAGCAGAAGGAATGTGGGACTAGAGAAGACCTAAATTCAGCCAGTTTCAAATGAGGACACAATATACATCACACAGAGAGACAGAGACAAACACGCACCACCGGACCCAGAGAAGCACCAAGGCAGACACACATGCTGCAACATACACCCACACACCCAACTGGACCCAAAGAAACATGAATGACTCCCTCTCCAACTAAAAAAATGCACATACACAGAAACATACCCTATGGCACTACATATACATGCAAGAACCACAGAAACACCAGACACACACTTACTGCAACACACATGTAGGGGGAGCACTAGCTTCACACACACACACACACACACACACACACACACACACACTCCAGCAGACACAAAAACAACCCACTCCACAATACACACTATGTAACCAGACCCAGGGACACCAACATTCACTGAAACACACACACACACACTCACTCACATACACCGGGAGCCACAAAGAAACTGTAGGGCAGACACAACCAGGCAGCACAAAAACACATGCCACTGGCTCACAGAAACATTGTGAGAGACACCCCGAAACACTCACATGTGCTGCAAGTGCACACACACATGCTCATATACACTGGACCCACAAAAGGCACACTCAGCAGCCACATATACTCTCCACTAGCACACCCAACAGACACACTCAGTAGAGACCCAGCCCACCACTCCTGGAGCCAGACTGGTGATATTGTACTCTAGAAGGGCAGCAGTGCTTCTGTGTTGTGAGGAAGGGCAAACTCGCAGGGCTACTATGTCCTTACATGTGCCCTTCTTCCCGACTCCTTTGTTTACCTGCCCTAGAAAAATCCAAGCCCCTTCCTTTCCTTGCAGATGTTCCTAATTATTGAATTTTCTTCCTGTCTCTGAAGAATCTCCTTAAGTGCCGAGTGCATTTCCCCCTATGGTTTTGATTCCCCAATCTGGCATGGATTGGACTTTGCCATCGCATCCTGGCAGCCAGAGACCCCAAAGAGAGTCCAACCTCTTGTCCAACTGGTAGCATGGTAAGAATTTGATTTTGATTCTCTTTGAGGGTCTGTTGATTTCTGGTGCCAGATTCTTTTGGTTTCATGGTCTGGCCATTTGGTCTTGTCTCTGTTGGTTAAGACATGAGAGTATGTAGTTTGTTAATCTTTTCTGTTTGTGTATCCATATGTCTGTTTTGAGCTTAAATCAATTAAAATTTTGTACCCAACAGGGGAGATGGTTGGAAGACATAGCTGAAAAACCAAAAGAACAGCGCTGTCACAAAGGTTTCCTTAAAATCAGCCAGCTGGGCAGAGCTATGAGCAGGTGAGTGAGACGTGCTTTGCCACGCCTGGCAGTCAGACACTAACATGTACGCCATTCCTCCAGTGAGTGTCAGGTGCTGGCACGGGGTAGTATCTCTTGATAGGACATGGGTGGATGGAGTGGAGTTAAGTGAGTAGAGATCTGGGTGCCGCGAGTAAGAGTCCAAAGACAAGTGGGGTGCCTGAAGATAGGTGTCTGGGTGGAGGAGGAAGAGATGAAGGGAAATTTCAATAGACGACACATGATGAGGTACGGGGGTGTGGGCCATGGATGGTGCCACCTGGGCTCATCAGGGGCAGGCCATCACTGGGTGAGAGCATCATTGGACGAGTCCAGGTTCACCTGCTTTAAATCAGTCAATTAGCCATGGATGGAAGTGGAGGGATAATGCTAAGTGAAATCATCAGAAGAAAGACAATTACCAGATGATTTCACTTTATGGGTGGAAAGAAACAAATCAAAGGGTCAGACAAAACCAATAACAAACCCTACAAATCTCACTGTGCAATTGAAACTGTTAGACAGAGAGAGGAAGCTGGGAAAACAAAGAGGGGAAGTGGTCAAATGGAGTAGAGTGGAGCGCTGAGAATGTGGGTGTGATCATATGTCCTCGAATAACATATGGTGTTGTAAAACAATGTTACTTCAATAGAGAAAAAAAAAAGAGAATTGATTAGTTTCACAGTAGCTAAAATGTGGAAGTAACCCAAATGTCCATAAACAGATACATGGATAAAGAAAATGTGGTATATTCAATGAGTGGAATATTATTTAGTCACAAAAGGAAAAAATTCTGGGGCTTCCCTGGTGATGCAGGAGTTAAAGTCTCAGTGCTATTAAGCTATCACTAACCAACTGAGGCATCAGTTCGCTCCCAGGCCAGGGAGGTGACCCACATGGTATAGCAGACCTCTCCTGTCCTGCCTGCTGCTCTCTTCAGTACTGTATCTCAGTAGATCTGCCTTCTGCTCCCCACTCTGTCTCTCTCTAGTGAATCCTCTAATCGCCTCTGCACCTGTATCCCAGTTCTGTATGCACAAAATAAATAAAATCTTTTGAAAAATTAATTAAAAAAAAGAGGGATAGATGGATACAATATTTTTTAACACTGAGCTGTATTAAAAATGGTTAATATGATACCTTTTGTGTTATAGTTTTTTCAGCACACAAGGCAAAAGTAAATTTCAAAAGCTAAGGCATATTCTCCGACAAGGTCCGAGCTTGTGAGGGCATGTTCCAAAAAAGTTAGGGGGCCCCAAAGCTGGCTCCTGTTGGACCACTTTATTTTGTTTTGGCCACTCCTGTAATTGTAATAACTTTATAATTCAAATGCATCTAATTAAGTCAAAAGTGACTTTACAATTGGCTGTTTAATAAAAGCAATTGGCTGCTATAGTAAAGTCACAATTGTAAAACAAAGCAGTACTAAGAGCATGTTAAAAAATAACCAGAGCTCTTTTTCTGCCCAGAACTGACAACCCAAATCCCATCACTCTGCTATCTTTCTTAAATGCTTTTTTGTTCAGCCTTTAAAAATGAGGAACTTTACTTAAGCTTTTTCTTGTTCA